GATGTTTAAGAGTAAAGCCAAAAGTCTTTTCGGATAATGAATTTGCATTCGGGAAGCTGTGAATTTTCTGCATAATTCTAGTGAAAAAGTGATTCACAAGTTAATATATATATTTCCTATAAAAAGGGTTTAATTCTCAAAAGAAATTAAAAAATATACATTTAGAGGTTACTTTGTGATAAAAGAAAGGCGATGATCCTTCCTTTAAAATAACAGCTTATTTTAACGTTACTACGTTTTACAAATCTAGTAGAAATTTAGTCATTTTTGGTATACGCGCCCTTTTTAACAGAAACAGAGAACGAAGGAGGTGAAAAGTGACTTAATTTATACTTTGAAGTGAAGTATTCGCATTTCGATTTATTTATCACCATAAAATGTGAAAGTCTATATAATGTTGAACGAACAACTTTTACCCGCGACGGTTATGTAATAAAAGCATTATTAGATTTTATAATCGTATTTTAAGTTAATATTATAAAGAGGAAAGTTGTGGTTGTTTGTTTATTTGCATTGATAAGGCTCCGAAAAAACTGGACCGATTTTTTAGAATCTTCCACCAACGGGAAGCTACATCATACGCGGGTGATATAGGCACAATATACGCAGGTGAAGTCGCAGGAAAACAGCTAGTTTATATATAAAAGGCAAAAGGACTAAGTGATCTACAGCGCAGTGAGCTTAAACTATTGGATGTATCAAGCTAAAATTTTACACACTGTAATATACCGTAGAGGTTCAATAAGGGCGAAAGAAGGTTGAATACGGGTTTACAGATCAAGAAGTCGCAGGAGGAAAGCTTCTTTAAATAGACGATGACCTTTGTACTATATATTGTTTTGTGAACGGATAAATATTAGGTAGGTAGTAGATAGGTATTTCAACAAATTATCAAATCATATTTGAAGTATGGCTACTTGTAGTCGCCGATAAGTATTTAAAGATATTTACTGATTTTAAAAAAATATCTTACCTACGGGAAGCTACATCATATGCGGTGAATATAAGCTATATTTTATCTTTAAAAAACGGCAAATAAAGGGATGAAAACGGAGTGGAAGTTTGTATAGGGAATTAAAACGTCACTATAACAACGGTTATTTATTATTGAATTTTTCATTGTAATTCATTTGTAAAGTTCGTTTTTTAATTTCAGAGACTAAATTGATATTTACTGTGTTGCCAAGTTTTTGCAATTTTCAATAGTGATGTGCCTCAACCGTACTTTCAACGAAAAAGTATCGTTTTTTTTACAAGTCACTAATAAAATGTGTACGTTCACAAGTACCCACTTAAGAACTAAATAATAGTAAAGTACGGTCTACTTTAAAAGACAATTATAAAACAACAACAACTTGTAAACTCATGTTCGTAATCCTTTATGTACTATATAAATGACAACTGTAAAAATAGCAATTCCTCTAGTTTATTATAACATAAGTGATTGCATGAAGTGCGCTTTATTAGACATATATTATGATTATTTATTGTTTTATTTCACTTGGAATGCCATCAGACTTGACCTCAAAGTAATCTTGTAACAACATTTCTATTAATTCAGGAGTATGAGCCACAAACAGATTGACGAATTGTTGAAATTGTTTTTTTTTTATAAACGCAAGAATTACTAAATATTTAATCATTTCAATATTATTTTTGTCATCATCATCCTCAGTCTATTAATATCCCACTATATAGAGAATAGGCCATGATTATGATCGAATAGGGAGAATGCACATCACGCAGGCCCAGAGTGTAAATCAGTAGTCGGTAGTAAAGTGAATCAGTGAGGAAGAAAGTTTGTTTGCAACAAAAAACTAGCCACTGGATCGATTTAAAAAATTTAAAAATCTATGGGAATCTTCATCATAAGCAAACATAGGCTAAAGAATATAGCTGATATTATTTTCATTTGTCGATTTAGCCGCTAGATTAAAAAACAGACTAATTATATCCGTGTCATCAAATGAATCGATATCAAAATAAACAGTTCCCTAGAAACCACGGGGCGAAGCCTCTGGCGGAAAACCTAGTTCTTTATTAATTCAGTAAGTAAGTTAATTTCGTTGCACATGCAACAGAAAACAATACATCGTTTAAATATTATTCAAGCCTGTGTTACACAGAAGAACACAGATAGAACTCATTTGTTTACACATGTTTAGTTAAAATTTGAGACATATGTAACACCGTGATTGGTGATAATAACCTTTTATTTGAGCGATGTGACTTTTGTACTATATGATGTTATGTTCAAAATTGGTTTTTTCAAATATTGTAAATTCCCCGTAGCTCCCTCACGCTAAAGTAATGAGGAAGTATTAAAAAAAATAAAGAGACTACAAAAAATATTTCACTAGATGGCAGCACAAATTGTAAATTGTATCTAAATGTTAATTCATGACGTTAAACAAAAGAGTATAAAATTGTCAGTGGTGTTACAGATAACTCGGATTAATATCAATTAATTTGAGTTACGCAAACGCAACTCGATTAATACGAACGATTCCTTGAATAAATTTCTTTTTATTTGAGTAAAAAAGATGTAAAGTATCATAATGAAAGAGAGCATAGAGATAGTTTTTTTTAAGTTATGAAAATCAATAGAAATAGTGCTGTGAAAAAGAGGAAACACGAAACGATGGCTTATTTATTAATTTGCGATACTAAATTTACTTTCAATACCTCAAAAACAAAATTTGAATGAATATCATAGACAAGAACCAAGCATTGCAAGTGACATCTAGTTTGATTTCAAGAACAAATTTTTATTCTTTAAATACTTTCTAATTTTACAAAAAAACTTTGTTTCACTCAGATTCTCTATCCACAAGCACCTCTTATCCTCTATCCACATTAGCTTTAGTGACCCAAAGACTTAAATAAATCTATAAGTCTATTAAATCTATGACATATAGCTACTAATATTATATATTGACCAAATCATTATATTTAGACACATCTTATAGCAAAATCTTTTAAATACAAAAATATTGACTAATAAGGAAATAAATCATGGATTTTTTCAAATAAGCTCATATATAATTGACTTGGTAATGGTGTTCAATATACCTGGTTACATTTAAGAAGGCGTATACACCAAAGATTTGTATGATTAAAAATTATAAAATAACATCATATTTGTAAAGATTCTGTCACATCCAAAACGTGAATTTATAAATTTTTCTTTATAGAATAACAAAATTCTCAATTTACTCCGTTTTTTATTGTCAATATTTTTTATGGAAAGTTGATAAACTCGGTAATCACTTTGTGACCAGTGGAATCATGCAGCTGATAACAACAGTCGTAATATAAAATTGTAAGTAATTCATCAAACAGTTTGTGACGCGCAATCGATAGAATAATTGTGCGTTATATTTGCAGTGGGCAATGAGATACAAAGCTGATTTGGATTCATCCCAATCTTTAAGTTTTTGTATTACGCTTAGTAAAAACTAATTGGTGCGTTATTAATTTATTATCTGTGATTTTCTTCTGTTGTTTATATAATTGATACTATTTTTGCACAGCAACTTCGTTCGATTCACATTTCTTTGAAAACCATATCGATTCATTAAATTAATCGAAAATTTTAAAAAAGACGCCTCACTATCAATTTAAGATTGATAAATGTCAAATGTGGCTTTTTATAATGACCCAACGTAATACCAAAATTTTAAGTTGCTTATTTTTTCTTAATTGTGTGTTTACACATACTTAATCACTTAAAACTAAGTTCAAAATCTACTTGTTTCTTGATTACGTATAAACCAGCCATTACTGGTAGAAAAAAATTCAAGAAAACTTATGAGGAGTCTTATATTTATAAAATTTGTTAGCAATCTTGCATTTGGTCATCTTCTTTTCTTTAACCTCTAATGACGAGTAACGATTAACTAATTTCGATAAATGTTTATCATAATAGATTCTAGTTTAACTTGATCATGACGTTTGCGAAAAATAAGGAAGTTAAAAATAAACGACATAATAAATAGGTGAATGGAAATGTTTATTCACAAAGGTCGCTCCAATGATCCAGTCTTGATATAAATATCATTATATTAAATAGTTAGTAAATAACTAATTTTATAATTTATTGTTATTTTATAATTATCAATAATGTATTAGTTTGTAATATATTGTACGTATTTGAATTTAGAACGACTGGAAATCATTATTACCGATTTGATGTCTATACTAAACTACTTATAATATCTTTTTTCATTTAGGTTTACTTCTAATATTATTCTGCAATTACATGTAATCTATATTGTAGTTATAATATAATAATAAGTTGTCTTCCGTTAACTTATTTGTTTACATTTTAAATATGCAGTTTGAAAGAATTAAACGAGTGTCTGGTTATCTCGGATTGTGTGTAGTATACTTAAATGCAAATATATGAAATAAAGATGCATCTTCACAAGGATAAACAACACATAAAATTCATAATATCATTTGAATTAATTAAACGTTTACGTACAAATACCGAGGCTTATATGGAAACTTAGTAATTGCAACATGTTTTGTATTAAGAATAAACTAACTTTATATTGTTTACTCACAGACCACAACAAAAGTTTTGTTTCCGGCGCGATAATTTAAATATTTAGCCAAGTTATTAGTAAGGGAAGTGTTCGTATTTAAGTAGATTTAAAAAATATTACTACGATAAGTAGAAAGAGCATGTTTTGATTTATATTTGTTTAATTTTGGTCATGGCGATTTCAATGATAAACATGGATAATACCCAATTAAAGAGAGAATACTCTCTTTAATTGGGTATTAAACTGATGACCTTACGCAATTTGTCCAATGGCGCCAGAGGTTAAGGTTAACGGCTAACGAGAATGAGGTTTAATGCCCAATCATAAAAAAACAATTGCAGAGATGGCAAAGGTGAATAAAGAAAGTGCCAGTTAATTATATTATTTTATTATATTTTTTTGTTATTCTTAAAAAGTTTTTATTCTAAATTAATAGTGCGAGATACTTACGTTTCAGCTGTTTTCCTTCAGGCGTGCAGCGTTGAGCATTAATAAGACAATCCACATAGTTCCTGACTAGCCTTTTACTGTAAAATAAAGTGTCCAAGTCCAAATAGTCGTATCTTCTATCATATTTTGGTAAACCTTCCAAATTGTTTACATCTTGTCCAACCACGACGTAAACACAAACATAAAGAAATAGCACTACACTAAACGCACGCATTTTTATGTTTTTATTAATTAGTCAAAGAATACAGTTCACTTTTTTATAGCACTGATTAATGTATGGTTCTGTGTTCAAATAAAGTTACGGGTTCCCGCGCAGCGAAGTTGACAGCGGCATTGGCGCGCGTGCGCTGTTTGCGCGTTCGATGTGTTATGGCACTTGCATTGGTGACCTCCACGTTATAAGATAGAAGCTGCGGCAGTGCCGGCTTTCTTCTGCTGTATAGGATCTGTGAAGAAGAACGCTAGTTATTGATTGTATCCTTTTTGACAGACTTAAAAAAATATCTAAATATGTATGTTCCATGAGTATATCTTCATTGTGGTTAGGCTTTTCTGTTTGTTTTACTTCATTTGAAGTCGAGCAGATAATAGCATAGGCTATCAAATCCTTACCAGAATTCAAATGAAGTATTTGTTAAGTATTAAAAAAATCTTATACTCAAACTACAGAGGCTTTGTATTTGATTTTCGCAAGATTTTGAGTCAAGCTATTGTAAAATGAAACTCAAATAACATATATATTTGAGTTTCATTTTACAATGTATATATTCCACTTTCATAATAATGAAGACCAAACTCACATGAAAAATATTGTATAATACTTTTTTAATTGATTAATCTTTTGCTGCCGGCTTAGTTTTTGTAAAAATCCTTGTGTTCAATAATTTATTTATAATTTTTTAATATAGATCTCAGTAAAAATATACGTATATTTTATTATTTCTTTAAATTTACACAAAAATAATATGCATTTTTTATTTAAACGGCATAGCTTTTCAATTATTTTAATATAAAGATAAAACTGCTAATCCCCATTTGTACTTTTTACGGGCCCATTTCATAAATATAGGCTTGCGTTTGAAAAAAAAATATATGTTCGTAACATTTTCATGAGAAAATAACTTTACGGATATTATATAGGTACCTACTTAAAATCCCATTCCATTGACTGCAGTCTAGAGATTTTTATTTCAGTTATATTATTGTTATTAGGGATTTAACAATTAGATCAGTGGTTCATAACTCGTCGGTAACTGGTCCCAGGTTCTTTACTAGTCTCTGAAACGATCCCAAGTAGTCCGTGGAACGGATATTACATTGTAGGTTAATAGGTATAAATATTTCTTATTTATCTATATTTAGGTAAAAGTTCTCCGGGGGACTCAATCACGGTTTCCCGGGTCTCATCCAAAGAGGAGGGTAGGTACACCGTAGGAGTTTTTGTGGGTAGGTCTCCGGGAACACATCAGGCGGCTAGCCGTAAGGGAGTTTACTAAGGAGATTACCACACACCCCCTTGCTTGCCGAGTGGCGGGAATAACCTCTAACGCATTTCCTCGTTAAAAAACGAGTACTGTTAAATAGACAAATTGGTACTGAAACCCTAACGACTGAAAGGTAAGTATCACTGGATTATATGAAGGTAACGTTATAAATACATCACATAAAGTGCACATGGTGGGAAGTTTGGGAAGAGGTAACGAAGATTTTTAAAACAGCCCTGCGATTCTGTAAAAATCCAGACCCGATTTCGAATTCACTTAAGTGTCCGAATTCACGACATTTAGTAAAGAAATCCTATTGATTCCATTTTTTGTATAAAAATACTAAACAAAATTGATTGATTAAACGTGTCTCAGATATTTTAATCCTATATCATATCGAAACTCACTTCACCTATGCCACGAAACGTTATTACCAATTCAAGTTTAAGCGGATGCTGCTTTTTGAAGTGAATTCGGACACCTGAGTGGATTCGAATTCGGGTTTGAAGTTTTACAGAATCGCAGGGCAGCTCATAAAACCATAAAAATTACAATCTCACGTTATTATTTTGACTGAAACGTTACTCAGGAAGTTCTATTGTATTTCTGCGTTCATTTGGAACATATAAATACCTGTTCACATATAAGTATATGAATAAAGAAACTGTTGTGAATTTGTAAGTTGTTTGTGCATTGATTAAATTTTTATCTGATTTTTATTGATGAACAATTAAGTATTTTTTTCATGTCTCAGTACTGCCAACACTGTACTCAGAAAAAAAAAACAATAGAAGCTAATGAAAAACCCGGCCAAGTGCTAGTTGGACTCGCGCACAAAGGGTTCCGTACACTGCTAACACATTTTTATATAGAACTTGTAGTATTTATAATAACAACTTTTATGCAATCGACATTTTTAATAACAGTATTTATGTTCATAGGAAAAAGTTGAGAGAAATACTCAATAATTAATTTGTGAATCTGAATTTAATTCAATGTCTGTTTCATTTTTTTTTTGTTTTGATTATTTTTAGCTATTAACACGTTTTATGCTCTTGTGAATTAATTTATGGTGGAAACTTAGTTGATTTATGACATTGTTTATATTATTTTATTTGACTGTGTAATAACATTGCTTATTTCCAAAATACTAATAAAATAGAAAAAATATAAAAATACGAGCAAATAATCACATTTGTTGTATGGGAGGGAGATATTCTGTTTTTTTTTTAGATTTGTTGTTATAGCGACAACAGAAATACATTTTCTGTGAAAATCTCAACTGTCTTACTATCATGGTTCATGAGATCTCATGAATTATATGTGAACCACACATATACTTCTTATAAAATTTACTGTAATATTTTTCCTTCGGGTAGGCACGGAAGGTAAAGGTATGGAATCCCAAAAAAGAAGCAACTCTTCTTGTTTATGTGAATGTTAAATCTATACATAGTATAAAATGAAGTCACTTCCCGCTGTCTGTATACTATACAATGGATTTTAATACGGTTTTCGCGTGGTTTTCGCCATTACATAGAATGATTCAAGAGGAAGAGCCGGGCCTAGGATGGGTGAATTTATACATACGTATAAATTCTCTTTTGGTATGGAAAAAATCCTTGGAAATATGATTTTCTCATTTTGAATTACAATTGTTCTGCGATGGTTAGCAAATACGCGGTTAAAAAATACGCGGGTTCCGTTTACCGCTTTCCTTTTAATAACTCTGAGCGAAAATGAACCTTATGACACAGTCTACCGAGAACCGTCTTTGGTCACGACGCATGCGTTAACAAACCTCTTTAATATATGTTTCCACAGCTTTACTTTATTTGTTATGTACCCAATCTGATGAAGGTCATTGACTTTAGATGTATGCACCCTCTTAAAGTACCTTCCGAAGCACGGAGGAGCTCGTGATGGTAAATTTTTATGCGCCCATCTGGTGGCCTACCGATGTAATAGTTTATTATTTTACTACCGAGCTCTTTTTTTATTTGAATCCGTAACTATAAGAAATCAGAATCTTCTAAATTGGACATCATTGGAAATTTTCATATATTTATTTATCATAATAATTTCTTAATAGTTTGCCATATCTATACTAATGTTAGGGGTTTTGCTTGCATTGAATAAGCTCGGAAACTACTAAAGTTTTAGAAATTCCTTCACCTGTGGGAAGCTACATCATACCGGGTGACTTATGCGATAATTTATACAGGTGATATCACAAGTCGATGAACAATCTTTATAATCTATCAGTATAAAATAATATAAAAAATAACTTTTCTAAACCGCTTCCCTTTATATGAATTATCTAATCTAGCAATCATTTAAATCCATAGCACTATTGTAATCAAACGCGACCGTAGCCACAGATTATGTATATCCTATTGTTACATAATTTTGCAATAATATGATCTAATCAAACAATCCGTGGCAGTTCAGAGGTTTTAGAACAATTATTTTCTAAAGCTATTCTTTTGTTTTTACTTGAATATTTCCGGTCTTGTTTATACGTTACTAGTTTTCCACCGGTGGGTTCGCTCGCATGTAATTACAACACAGGAGAGACACATTTTCTTTTTCTTGATAGAAAAAAATCACATAGTTCTCCTAAAACAAGATGGTACGGAACAGACTACTGTATTTTGAATCGCTATTAACACGGCCATGTTGTACCTAGTGCCTTGCCTCAATAATGGTGACTTGAATAGATTTTTTTGGAAACTGGCTTTATGTTACTATACCCTCTAGCCATGACTCTAGCCATAGATAACGACATCTTTCAAAATTTCAAAATGAGTAACTAAAACTCCCATGGTGTGGAGTATCTATAGATATATCACGATGGGGCGATATTTCGAGACGATCTTCATATTATTACTTTGACATGTACTTTACTGACGACGAACGAATGATAAAGAATGATGGTAATGGATATCAATAATAATAATAATAAAGTATTTATTTTGCCAACACACAACACAACCCAGTATAAAACAAACAAAACAATTAGTACATACAAGAATTTAAAGAGTGGTGTTACCAAGTTAGTCGTTTATCCACCAAAAGATATGTAAAATTGGAAAATGAAACGAAACATCGGCATAGTATAGCTTACGATGTCGTATGCGATGGGCTAGAATGCGGTCGCACCCTGATAGAAATGTGCAAATTTCACAACAAATCTCATCGATTTCTCGTCCCACTCACACACTTTGCATTATTTACTAAATCTATTGTTATTAAAGTGCTAAATTCAATTATACATGTGGAAAATAACATAAGGAATTTCTTTTATGTTAATGACATATCTAATGCCGTTACGCGACATTCTTGCTACACATACAATATTGTTTGTCCACAGAGTAACCTTATTATAACTGTATCTTTCTATTAGGGCTGGCCATAAATAAAAAAAAAATAAGACGAAATCAACTCATCTAGGAGATAGAGAGGAGAAATAACACCACCATCAAAAGTGTTTAATAAAAGTGATGATTTTATGAACTAGCAAGCCTTCTAAATGTTTCTATGTCTTTGTAAATGCAAATAAATAAACAATCAAATCTTTCCTAGTAATAACAGTATAGATATGACACGCAATAGACTATTTGACTTTGATTTTTCCTTAGAATATTAAAATATAATCATCGCATTAAAAATATACATCACCACTGATCACTAAAACAAGCACAAAATAAAAACGTTACATCAATAGTATTAAAAAATGTAATTCAATGAACAGGTTTAAATTATCAAAAAATTAAAATAACGAAGATAATGGCCATTAATAACTCAAGGCACATTACTTAAAGAATGGAAACGAGTTAGTCCGCTTTTAGTGGTATTTCCACGTTTTTTTGGAAAACGCGTTTTGT